CCTATATGAGAACAATAATATCAGTGTCATCAGACTTCTCATCCAAATCCTGTGGATGCCACAGGAAGTGGCACAATACTTTCAATTTCAATTTCAAAAAAGAATCAACTAAGAATACCACCCAGAGAAAGTATACTTTAGGAATGAAGATAAAATTAAGACATTCTCAGATTCAGGAGAACTTAAGATGATTTGTCATAATCAGACGTACACTAAAAGAACAGCTTAAAAAAAGATCTTCAAATAATACAATAATGCTCTAACAATACCAGAAATGGAGAAAAAACAAGGTAAAGAGTAAAAATATGAGTAAATATAATAAACTATTCTCTTACGTTTTCTAAATTATGTTTGACAGTTAAAGCAAAAATTATAACATTGTCTGACATGGTTCTTAAGGTATGTAAAAGAAATAATTAAGACAATTATGTTATTGGTGGAATGAGTGGTAAAGGGACCTAAATGGAAGTAATATTTCTACATTTGATTCAAACTAGTAAAATGCTGACATCGGTAGTTTGTGATAAGTTAGTTACATATATTATTTAACACCTATAGCAACCACTAAAACATCTATGTAAAGATATGCACTGAAAACCACTATGGATAAATCAAAGTGGAAACTAAGTAATGTTCAAGAAATTCACAGGAAGTCAGGAAAAGTAAAACAGGAATGAAAAACAGAAGATCAAATAAAAATAAACAATAAGATGGCACACTTAATGCTCTAACACATCAATAAAGATATCAAGTGTAAATAGTCTAAATGCATACATTAAAAAACAGAGGTTGGCTAAATGGATTAAAATCAGACAAACAAACATGAGCCAACAATGTGCCATAACCAAGACACTCACTTCAAACATGATACTGGGAGGTTGAAAGTAAAAGGTTGGAGGAAGACATGTCATGTAAACATTAATCAAAAGAAAGTAGAAGTTGCTTTATTAATATCAGATAAAGTAGGGGGAAGGGATAGCTCAGTGGAAGAGCACATGCCCAGCAAGCATGAGGTCCTGGGTTCAACCCCCAGTACCTCCACTAAAAAAATAAGTAAATAAATGAAAACCCAATTACCTCCCCCTATATAAAAAATAATAAGGAAGAAATATCAGATAAAGTAGATTTCAGAGAAAAAAAATTACGAGAGACAGAAAATGACATTAAATAATGATAAAATGATCAATCCATCAAAAAAGATTCTAATAAAATTTGTATACCTCGAACAACAGACCTTTAAAATGCAGGAGGCAAAGCTGATACAACCGAAAACAGAAATAGAAGAGTCCTCAATCACATTTGGATATTTCAACTGTTTTCTTTCAACAATCACAACTCTTCTCATAAAATCAGCGAGGATATAGAAGAACTTAGCAATACCATTAACCAACTAGGATCTAACTGACATTTATAGAACGCTCCACTCAACAGCTAGAGAATACACATTCTGATCAAGTGCCTATGAAACATTAACCAAGATTGACCATATCCTGAACCATAAAATAAAAACTCAACCAATTTAAAAGAATAGAAATTATACAGAGTATATTCTCTGAACACAGTGAAATCAATCCAGAAATCTACAGCACAGAGAGAACAAAAAACTTTTTAATACTTGAAAATTAAACACACTTCTAAATAATCCATGGGTCAAAAAGGAAGTCTCAAGGAAATAGATACAAAGATAAATATATCAATATAGATAGATATATAGATACAAATAGATAAATATATATAATTGTATATATACATGTACATATATCAAATGTGTGTGTATATATATATATATATATATATACATATATTAAAACCAATGCAATGCACTTAAGCAGTGCTGAGAGGGGAATGTATGACACTAAATGGTTACATCAGAAAAAAGGAGCGCTCGTAAGTGGATAATCTAACTATTACCTATAGAAACAAGAAAAGAAAGCAAAATAAACTTGGCAGAAGGAAGACAATAATGAAATTGCAAACTGAAAAATGATAGAAAATTTTAAAGGAATAAAAAGCCAATTCTTTGCAAAGATCAATAAAATAGACAGTAGCACAAATGATCAATATCAGGAATGAATCTAGGAAATTATTACAGACCTGCTGACATATACTATGAACAACTCTACGCACGTTATTTAACATCCATAAGCAAAAAAAAAAAAAAGAACTTTGATACAAACTTAACACCTTATGTAAAAATTAACACAAAATGAATCACATACTTAAATGTAAAACATAAAACTGTAAAACCTTTTGAAGAAAAAGTGGAGAAAAATCCTCAGAATCTACAGCTAAATGAGGCTTCCTAACATGGTAGATTACATGACACCAAAATCACAAACTTTAAAAAGTCAATAAATTCAACCTCATAAAATTAAAACATTCTGCTTTTTAAAATACTATTTTAAGAGATGAAAAGACAGCTACAGACTAGGAGAAAATACACATACACAACATATTTCAGGAATAACTACTGTCTGTAATACAGAAGGAACTCTCAAAACTCAACAGTAAAAAATAAAAACAATTCAGTTAGAAAATGAACAAAAGATGGAACAGACATTGCACCACAGGCATACGCAAACGGAAAGTAAGCACATAAAAATATGTTCAACATTATTAGCCATTAGGGAAGCGCAAATTAAAACCACACTGTAAAATCACTATACATCAATTAGAAAAGTTAAAATAAAAAAATTGCAACAATGCCAAATACTGGAGAGGATTTGGAGGAACTATGTCTGTCCTATTTTGCTGGTAGAAATGTAAAATGGTACAGCCACTCTAGAAAATAGTTTGGCACTTTGGTCTTAAAAACTAAATGTATACTTAACCATATGACCCAGCAATTGCACTCCTGGGCACTTCTTCCTTTTCCTTTTTTCCTAGAAAAAGGAAAATTTATTGCTACACAAATATTCTTCACATATGTTCACATATATTCATAGCAGCTTTATTTGTAATAGCCCAAACTTGTAAACATCCAAATTTCCATCAATAGGTGAAGGTTAAATGAATTGTGGTTCATCCATTGCCATGGAATACTACTCAGCAATAAAGAAGAATAAGTGATTGATGCATGAAACAGTGTGGATGGATCTCAAGGGAATTATGCTGGGTGAAAAAAGAGCCAACCTCACAATGATTACCTACTATAGGATTCTATTTATATAACATTCTTGAAATCACAGAATTATAGAGATGGAGAACATATTAGTGATTGCCAGGAATTAG